CGCCCTATAGCAAAAACCTCTCCAAAAAAAATTAATAAAAATATAATGCCCCTCATATTTGGATCTGTGTAATGTTTTCTCATAACCAAATAAGTTATGCATTTTTTTTGAGAGATTTTTGCTATAGGGTGCGTGCACTCGCCAGACAGACAGAGAGAGAAACAGAGAGACAGAAAGCGAGAAATCATCCCCCAGGGGGGATGACCACACCGCAGTCCCTTCTCCTCCGTTCTCCCCTTGGGATCTTGGGCACGCACGCACACGTGCCTGGTGTGAGTTCCAAGCCACCGGATCCGGGACATGAACCGCGGTCGACTACATGGGAGTCCAGCGACATAGCCATTATGCTAACTGCTGGTCCCAACTTACGCATTTTTGATGGGAAAACTACATAGAAAGAACTGTCCTCAGTTCTTCACATCAGAAGGCTCCTGATGTCAGTTTATCTCTGTTAGTCATTTTAACTTTGGTGAAGATAGTGTCCTCCAGCTTTCTCCACTATACAGTTCTTGTTTTCAAATAGGCTGATGGGCAAATACATGGATATTGTGTAAATGTTCTTTGGTGGAGATTAAGGATTATTTATTTATTTATTTAATTCCATTTGTTACTACTGTATTTATTTTTATTTTGACCAGAGAGAAAGGCAAAGTGAGTAAGCAAGCCGTTAGGTCTGGGATTTGAACTGTGGTTGACCATGTGGGAGGCCAGCATTGTAACCACCATGTCGCCTGCTGGACCATTATTACTTTTTGATTGGTCAATGGGTGATTTTAGCCTGAATCAGTTATTGTGATAGTCACAAAGTAGTATAAAAATTTTAACACCTTCAGTTAATGACAATTTAGACCTTGAACTATCTGCTTTGTTAAAAACCTACTGCTTCTTACTGTTTTGTAGTAAAAGCATTTTTTAAAGAAAGATTTTTAATTATTTACAGTGCACTTCAGGAAACGATCACATCTCGCTATCAACTGGATCGAAAATTTATCACAAATATTCTGGTATGATATTTGTAGTAAGTGAGCTTTGGCAGGAAGTTGGTGGGATGGGATGGTTTCATTATAAAGGACAGCCAGATTTTAGTAGTGGTTACATACTTTTCTATCATAGTTAAAGTCTGGGGCACATAATGTAATGTCATTGATGTTCTTCCACAACTTTTGAAACCTTTGTTTTATCCTTAAAATAAAGCATCAGGTCAGCAGGTGGCATGGTGATTAAGGTGGTAGATTTCCCCATGGCTGACAGTGCGGTTTGAGTCCTAGACTTGAAAAATGTGCTCGGCATGTGGCATGGTCATTAAGGTTGCTAGACTCCCACATGGCCGGGATCTGGTGACTTGCTTGTGAACAGTGAGAGACAGAGAGATAGAAAGTGAGAAATCACCCCCGTTGTGGGGGGTGGCCATGCCATAATTCGTTTTCCTCCATTCTCCTATCAGGGGAGAGGGGGAATGCCGGCACATGTGCCTGGCAAGAGTTTCAAGCTGCAGGGTCCAGGATGTGAGCTGTGGTGTGGTAGGGCATGTGGGAGTCCAGCCAGGTAACTGTTATGTAATCTGCTGGTCCCATCTTTTTTTCCCTTTTTAAGAATTCTTTATTTAATTTTAGTTATGATTATTATTGTTTGTAATTTTTTTTTTTTTTTGGAGAGATTTTTCGCTATAGGGTACGTGTGCTCGCCAGACAGACAGAGAGAGACAGAGAGACAGAAAGCGAGAAATCATCCCCCAGGGGGGATGGTCACGCCATAATCCCTTCTCCTCCATTCTCCTCTTGGGATCTTGGGCACGCACACACGCCCAGTGTGAGTTTTAAGCCACCGGGTCTGGGACACGAACCACGGTCGACTACGTGGGAGTCCAGTGACATAGCCATTACGCTAACTGCTGGTTCCCTATTGTTTTTAAATTTGATTAGAGAGAGAAAGGGAAATGAGAAAGCAAAGCAAGCTACCAGGTCCAGGACTCAAACTGTGCTCAGCCATATGGGAGTCTAGCGCCTCAACCACCATGCACCTTGCTTGGTTCCCCTAAAGACTCTTCAGAAGGGATGTGCTTTTTTTTTTTCCTTTTTAAAAAATATGACAGTGGGCACATGTTAATACTTTCAGTAGAGAGAAGGGTAGGTGGGGGAGAAGCCCCCTCATCAGAGCCTAATCACCCAGTTCTCCATCCCATCAGGATTTTGATCCCTGTGCCAACACTAGTGTGTGAGTGTGAGTGTGTGTGTGTTTTAAGTATTTGGGGCTGAGACTAGAACCCTGATTGGCTATGTGGGATCTGGACCTATTGGCTTGAAAAATCACACTGAGTGTGTGTGTGCACCAAAAATGCTGAGGAGACTGGAGAAAGGATTGAGGTGTGGCCATTCCCCTTGGAAGAGTGATTTCCCACTTTCCCTCTCTCTCTTATTGTCTCTCTCTAGTGAATGCACGTGCCCTATGGTGAAACTAATATATATATATAATAAAATAAAAAAGTAAAATCTTTTTTTCTTTTTAATTTTTTTTGGAGAGGTTTTTGCTATAGGGCGTGTGCTTGCCTGAGAGACAGAGAGATGGAAAGCGAGAAATCACCCCCCAGGGGGGATGGCCACAGTGCAATCCCTTCTCCATTCTCCTCTCGGGATCTTGGGCACGCACGCACACGTGCCCTTCCTGAGTTTAAGCCGCTAGGTCCAGGACTCGAACTGGAGTCGACTATATGGGAATCCAGCAACATAGCCATTACGCTAACTGCTGGTCCCAAAAAAGTAAAATCTTTATAAAATAGTTCCCTGGGGAACCAGCAGTTAGCGTAATGACTATGTCGCTGGACTCCCACGTAGTCGACCGCGGTTCGCGTCCCGGACCCAGTGGCTTAAAACTCACGCCGGGCGCGTGTGCGTGCGTGCCCAAGATCCCGAGAGGAGAATGGAGGAGAAGGGATTGCGGCGTGACCATCCCCCCTGGGGGGTGATTTCTCGCTTTCTGTCTCTTTCTAAAAAAAAAAAAAAAAAAAAGTTCCCTGGGAGATTTTTTTTGTATTATTATTTAAATGTTTGGTTGCAATGATGTCTTATTTTCCTTGAATAAAAGTATTTCATTATTGCTATTTTTTAACTTGACTAGAGAGACAGAGAGAGAAGGGGAAAGCAAGCTGCCTGGGACATGAACTGCAGTCAGTCATGTGGGAATCCAATGCCCCCAACCACCATGCCATCTGCTGGCTCTGATTTTTGTATTATTAATGATTAACTTAATTATCTGCTAATGGAAAGGAACACTGATGTGTATAGATTGTAGAAGATCAAACACTGAATATTCTGATTATTAAACAATGATTTTCATATGTTTGAGATTATATTAATTTATATTTTTCAATTATTTTTCTAGTACGAAACGATCACATCTCGCTATCAACTGGATCGAAAATTTATCACAAATATTCTGTATGAGAATAATGTTATCACTATTGATCTAGTACAGAATTCTTCTCAGAAAACTCAGAATGATGTGGACATAGCTGATGTGGCTTATTATTTTGAAAAAGATGTAAGTATATTCTTCCTTATTTTATTCAACTGTGTTTATATGGCTTCAGCATTGCAGAACATGGAGCTACTTCTTTTTTTTTTTTGAGAGGTTTTTTTCACTATAGGGCACGTGCGCTCGCCAGACAGAATGCAGGGTCTAAAAGCTGGCATCATTGCTGTCATTGTGGTTGTGATAATAGCAATTATCACTGGAGTTGTTGCAGTGGTTATTTCCAGAAAGAAGAAAATGGCGAAGTATGAGAAGGCTGAGATAAAGGAGATGAGTGAGATGCATAGAGAACGTAATGCAGAACTACTGCAGATTGAAAATTACCTACAAGAAGGAAAATTAGTAAATTAAATTAGATTACAAATATATGAACATGGGCAAAGAGAAGATCTTTCAGGATTATTTCATTAGTTAACAACATACATTTTTAATAGTGAACCTGTACTGAGAAATATAAGCAGCTGAAAGTTGGCTTTACCAATCTTCACCACAAGTGTCTTATTAAGTATTTTATTTATTTTTTTTTTTTTTTTAATTTGCCAGAGGCATATGCATTCTAGGGAGAGGAAGAAAGCACCCACATGGGGAATAATCATGCCACGATTCCTTCTTCATTTCTCCTTCTTTTGGGATTTTGGGTACTCTCATATGTATGTCTACCATGTTGTTTAAGATGCTGGGTCTGGGACTCAAACTGTGTGGTTGCACATATAGGGAGTCTAACCACTAGACCATGGGTTGACTCTGTAAGTCCTATTACTACCCTCTTGGTAATTACTTGATGTGTTTATCTCCCTGTTTTATTTATTATTTATATGAACAAGAACTTACATTTAAAAATTACTGTGCAGTTTGTGTGATTTAAATATTTTGTTTAGGGACCAGCAGGTGGTTTGGTGCTTGAGGTGCTGGACACTCCCACATGGCTTACCACGGTTCAAGTCCCGGACCTGGTGGCTTGCTTTCTCACTTTCCCTCTCTTTCTGTCTCTGTTTCTCTCAAGTCAAATTGAAATAAATAAATGAATGAATAAATTAAATTAAATAAATAAATTTTTAAAATATTTTGTGGGGCTGGCAGGTGGCGTGGTGGTTAAGGGTGCAGTACTCCCCCATAGCCGACTGTGGTTCGAGTCCCAGACATGGTGGCTTGCTTTCTCACTTTCCCTTGCTTTCTCCCTCTCTCTCTCCTTTCTCTCTCTTGCTCTATCCCTCTCTGATTAAATTAAAATAAGTAAATGAATAAATAAAGTTAAATAAATTAATTATTTTATTTAAATAAAAAATATATTTTGTTTATACTTGCTCCATGGCCTTGTGGTTGAAGTGGTTTGAGTCTGGCATGCTGGAGCTTTAGAAAAATTCCTTGTGCTGGGCCAGCAGATGGCTTAGAGATTTCATCGCTAGAATTCCACATGGTTGATCTTAGTTCTTGTCCTGGATCCAGTGGCTTTAAATTCAGGCAAGGCGTGTGTGCGTGTGTGTCCAAGATCCTAAGAAGAGAATGGAGGAAAAGACATTGCAGTGCGGCTATTCTCCTGGGAGGGGTGATTTCTCACTTTCCCTCTTCCTGTATGTTTGTTTGTCTCTCTCCCTGGTAAACATATGTGGCATGTCCATTCTTCATGGAAGGTGCTCTCTCCTCTCTTTTTGTTTTAAGAGATTTTTGCTATAGGGCAGGTGCACTGGCCAGAGACACAGAGAAAGAAAGACAGAGGGGTCCAGCAGGTGGTGTGATGGTTAAGGCGCAGGACATTCCCACATGGCTGACTATGGTTCAAGTTCTGAACCTCGTGGCTTGCTTTCTAACTTTTCCTCTCTCTCTCTTTGTGTCTCTCTATGGTCAAATTAAAATAAATGAATCAATAAGTAAAATTAAATAAATAATTCTTTAAAAAATTACATTAATCTATTAAGAAAAGAAACAGAAAGCGAGAAATCCCCTCCCCGCCCACCCCCATCCCCCAAGGGGAGATGGCTACACCGCAGTCCCCTTTTCCTCCATTCTCTTCTTGGGATTTTTTGCACACACTTACACGTACCTGCTGTGAGTTTCAAGCTGCTGAGTCAGAACTCGAACTGTGACTATTTGCAAGTCCAGCAACGTAATCATTATGCCATGTGCTGTTCCCTCTCCTCTTTCTCTTTGTCTCTGGAGAGGACATGCACACTCTAGCAAAAAAAAAAAGTCTTAATTTCAGTACGTTATACTGATGTATTTTTTGATGAAATGTGAGGTTTGCTTTAGAATAATCAGAATTGAGGTATGGAAGTAAGAAGATTGACTATGTGTTGATATTGCTGAATCAGGATGACAGGCATACATGGGCTTTACTATATAGGTCGAGCATCTCTAATGTGAAATCCAAAATCCAAAATACTCAATAATCTGAAAGTTTGTGATTACCAATGTGATGCAACTAGTAAAAAGTTCTATATCTGACACTATGTGCTGGGTCACGGTCAAAATGCTGCAATACAGGGACCAGCAGTTAGCGTAATGGCTATGTCGCTGGACTCCCACGTAGTCGACCGCGGTTCGCGTCCTGGACCTGGTGGCTTAAACTCACGCCGGGCACGTGTGCGTGTATGCCCAAGATCCTGAAAGGAGAATGGAGGAGAAGGGATTGTGGCGTGGCCATCCCCCCTGGGGAGTGATTTGTCGCTTTCTATCTCTCTGTCTCTGTCTGGCGAATACACACGCCCTATAGCAAAAAAAAACCAAAAAACAAAAAAAACCAAAAACAAAAACCTCTCCAAAAAAAGAAAAAAAAAATGCTGCAATACAAAAATGTTTTGTAAAATTACTTTCAGGCTATGTGTATAAGGTATATATAAATGTAAGTGAATTTTGTGTTTAGACTTTGGTCCCATCTTGATGATATCTCATTTATATATATGCATATCTTCCAAAATTCCAAAACCCTAAATGCTTCTGGTCCCAAGGTGGTTTTTTTTTTTTTTTTTTTTTTGATAGGATTGTTTTGTTTAGCTTTGTTTGTTTATTTATTTATTTATTTGGAAAGGTTTTTGCTATAGGAAGCGTGCGCTTGCCAGAGAGACAGACAGACAGCTAGAAATCACTCCCAAGGTGGGATAGCCATGCCCCAAATCTCTTCTCCTTCATTCTCCTCTTGGGATCTTGGTAACCCATGCACATGTGCCCAGCATGAATTTAAGCCACTGGGTTCAGGACTTGAGCTGTGATCGACTGCATGGGAGTCCAGTGACGTAGCCATTAAGCCATCTGCTGGTCGCTATTTATTTATTTAAATTTGACCAGAGAGGGACAGAGGGAGGGAGAGAGAGAGAGGGATAATGAAAAATTAAGCTGCCAGGTCTAGGACTCAAATCACGGTTGGCCATATGGGAGTTTCCAGTGCCCTTAACCACTATACCACCAGCCCCTTTGGCCCAAGCATTTTGAAAAACCAATATTCAACCTGTACTAATTTTTATTTTTTAATTTCTTTAGTTTTTGCTATAGGGTGAGCGTGCTCACTGGAGAGAAGAAAAAGAGCAAAGTCTCCCATAAGAGGGGACAGCCACATTGCAGAGAGAGAGAGAGAGAAAAAGAGAAAGTGAGAAGTCACCCATGGAGAGGGATGGCCACACCACAATCCCTTCTCCTCCCTCTCTCAGGATTTTTGGGCATACATGCACATGCACCTGACATGTTTTTCAAGCCGCTGAGTCCGAGACTCGAACCATGAAGTCAGCCATGTGGGACCCAGCTACCTTAAATACCATACTATTGGCTCCGGTCCTGTTTTAACCTCTGTATATGTTTGAAATTTTTTTAACATTCTGTTCACTGAAATCATAAAGATTTTTGGAAACAGATATTTTGATGTATAGTTGGTGTGTAATTATATGTGGCTGCGGTTGACTTTATTAAATATTTTTAATTGCTTTTCTTCTTTTCAACATAGGTTAAAGGTGAATCCTTGTTCCATTCTAAGAGAATGGACCTGAGAGTAAATGGAGAACAACTGGATCTGGATCCTGGTCAAACTTTAATTTACTATGTTGATGAGAAAGCACCTGAATTTTCAATGCAGGGTCTGAAAGCTGGCATCATTGCTGTCATTGTGGTTGTGATAATAGCAATTATCACTGGAGTTGTTGTAGTGGTAAGTACAGATCAAGTACGTTTAATGGTGTATTCCTTCAAGAAAAGGTAATACATTTCTGAAAAAGCTCCATCCATGTTCTAGAACATATTAATGAAGCAGTCTTCATTTTAAATAATTCTCTATAGTGAACAAAATTATTGAATTTTTTGTTCATTTAAAAAATATATTTATTATATTTTTAAAGGAGATATTTTTGCTGTATGACAAGTACGCTTGCTGAAGAGACAGAGAGAGAGACAGAAAGCGAAAAATTACCCCTTAGGGGGATGGCCATACTGCCATCCCTTCTCCTTCACTCTCCTCTCAGGATTTTGGACATGCTCTACACATACTCCTTTGTGTGAGTTTTCTTTTTCTTTTCCCTGTGTGAGTTTTAAGCCACCTTATCTTTGACTTGAACTGCAGTCAACTATGTGGGAATTAAGCAACGTAACCGTTACACCATCTGCTTGTCCCTATTGTTATTTTTTTAAAATTTGACCAGAGAGAGCAGGAGAGAAAAAATGAGAAAGCAAACCACCAGACATAGGACTCAAACCGTGGTTGGCTATGTGGAAGTCCAGCACCTTAACTACCATACCAACTGCTGGACCTTCATATTCCCTTTTAACGAAACAGTGACAGTGAAGCGAAAAAGGATGTGAATTTGAAAATAGTTGATGCCAAGCACTGCACAGGCCAGTTATATTGCCATCAATAGCAAATTTCCTTCAGTTACTGTCACTGCAAATGGTTCAACACTTCGGCCAGGAATGGTACAAAATATTTGAATTCCCAAACCATTCAGTGAGATAGATAAATAGAATACAAATTAAAATTAGGAGAGAGTTTTTGTTTATTTTAGTTTGTTATAGGGAGTGTGCACTTACAGGAGAGAGAGAGAGAGGCTAAGTGAGAAACCACCATCCAGGGGTGATGGCTGGCCACACTGCAGTCCCTTCTCCATTCTCCTCTCAGAATTTTGGGTATATACACACATGCCCCTGGTCTCATTTTCAGGCTACTGAATCCATGACACAGATCGCAGTCTTTTATGTGGGATTTAGCTGCCTTCTTTTCCATGCCACTTGCTGGCCCTGAAGCAACATTTTAAATAAAGATTAGCAAATTGAATTTAGCTGCACTTCAAAAGAAGAATGCATCACTTGAAGAAGTAGACTTTGCTATCCTATCAGGAATCTTACCAACATGACAAAACTCAAATAGATTTGAAGTTATATGGGATCTTACATTTTTTAAAATTGATTTATTCTTCTTTTCTATTTTATAATTTCTTATTTATATATTTTCAGTTCAATGAAATTACCATCTTTGTCTGCCTGGAAGAATACAAAAGTTGAATTACTATTTTATTCCAAGGACTGTCCATATTGTCCAAATATATGTGGATGGCATGTCTAGATCACACCATTGTGAAAGGAGCTGGCACTGCACCACCATGTTCAAACAAAAATGTCCAGATAAAGAGTAGTTTAAAATGTAAAATAAAGTCAGGCCAGCTGGTGGCGTGGTGCTTAAGGTGGCTGGATCCCACAAGGCTGTCTATGCAGTTTGAACGCCCCAAAATCTCTAAAGGAGATTTGAAGGAGAAGGGATTGTGGCATGACCATTCTCCATGGGAATGTTTTCTTCCTGTCCCCCAACTCTTATCTGTCTCTCTGGTGAGGGCATGAGTCCTTCAGCAAATCTTTTTTAAAAAAGTGTGAAGGAAATTAATTTAGGAAATATTTACACAACCTTGAGGAGAAGGGAAACTGTAAAGCAAGAAATTTAGAATGAAGAAAATGATATTTATGACTTTATTAAAATTAAATGTTTTGGGGCTGACAGGTGGTATAGTGGTTAAGGCACTGGACTCTCATATGACCAACTGTGGTTTGAGTCCTAGACCTATGGCTTGCTTACTCTCTGTCTCTCTGGTCAAATTAAATGATAATAATACTAAATTAATAAAATTAACTGAATAATTCCTTTTTAAAAAATTAAATGTTTTGGGGCCAGCAGATGGCGTGGTGGTTAAGGCGCTGGACTCCCACATGACCGACCATGGTTCAAGTTCCAGACCTGGCCACTTGCTTTCTCACTTTCTCTCTCTCTCTCTCACTTTGTCCTGGTCAAATTAAAAATAAATAAATAAAGTTAAAAAAATAATTCTTAAAAAGAATGAAATGTTTTGTATGGGAAAATACTATAAAGGTCTTTGTCATGCAAAGGTTGGGAAAATATTCGTGATGAATAAAACAGATGGAGGGGGGCATAATGACTATGTCGCTGGACTCCCATGTAGTCATCTGTGGTTTGTGTCCCAGACTTGGTGGCTTAAACTCATGCCGAGTGCGTGTGCGTGCGTGCCCAAGATCTCAAAAGGAGAAGGGAGAAGGGATTGCAGTGTGGTCATCCCCGCGGGGGGTGATTTCTTGCTTTCTGTCTCTCTGTCTTTCTGGTGAGCGCACGCGCCCTATAGCAAAAACCTCTCCAGGGAAAAAAAAGCAAATGGAGGTACCAACAGATGGTATAATAGTTATGTCCCTGGACTGACTCACGTATTCAAATGTGGTGTGATTCCCAGATCTGGCGACTTAAAACTGATGGCGGGTGCATGCGCGCACATGTGAGTGCATGCTCAAAATCCTAAGAGAACAGTGGAGGAGGAGGGAATGCCCCCTAGAAAGTGATTTCTTGCTTCCTGTCTCTCTATCTCTTTGTCTCTCCAGCAAGCTCACGTGCCCTATAGCGAAAATCTCTCCCCGAGAAAAAAGAAAGAAGGAAAGAAAACCCAGATGGATATTATGTGTAGTATGCTAAGAGTTCTTCCAAACTGATGAGGAAATCTACAGAAAGAATGACAACAGGAATGAACAGACAGTTTATAGAAGCAGAATTTCAGATGCCAAATAAACACATCAAAGTTAGAAAGGGGGTGCCATAGAAATCTAATTGTCCTGTAAAAATGAAAGTACAAGTGTTGTAATAAAACACATTCTAGGACCAGCAGGTGGTGTAGTGGTTAAGGTGCTGCACTCCCACATGACCTGCCCTGGTTCGAGTTCTAGACCTGGATGCTTCAAAATCACACTGGTGCATGTACATGTCTGTCCCAAAATCCTAGGAGGATAATGGAGGAGGTGGGGTTGTGATGTGGCCATCCTCCAGGGGGTGATTTCTCACGTTTTCTCTCACTGTCTTTGTTTCCAGTGAGCGCACATGCCCTATGATAAAAACCCTTATAAAAAAAAAAAAGTAAAATGAACTCACATTCGGGGCTAGGAAGGTTGAGTGGTGGTTAAGACAGCCAGATGCTACATGACCGACTGCACGGTTTGTGTCCAGGACCTGGTGGCTTGAAAAACAAACCAGGCATACGCATGCCCAAAATCCCAAGAGGAGAGTGGAGAGAAGAAAAGATTGCAGATTGCAGCATGGTCATCTCTCCTGGAGGGTGGTTTCTCACCTTTCTCTCTCCTTTTCTTTATCTTTCTGTCTCTTCAGTGAGCCCACGTACAGTATAGTAGACTAAGAAATAAAAAATGTTTAAAGAGATAGCGCAGGCTAGCAGATGGCATGTAGGTTATGGTGGTTGGATCCCACATGATTGACTGGGTTGTTTGATCCTGGATCCAAGCAGCTTGAAAAACATTCCATGTGTGTATGTGTGAATGAGGAGAATGGAGAAGGGATTTTGGTGTGAATGTTCACTCAGGAAGTGATTACTCTTCTTTTTTTTTTTTTGGAGAGGTTTTTGCTATAGGGCGTGTGCGCTCACCAGACAGACAGAGAGAGACATAGAGACAGAAAGCGAGAAATCACCCCCCAGGGGGGATGGTCACGCCGCAATCCCTTCTCCTCCATTCTCCTCTCGGGATCTTGGGCACGCACGCACACACGCCCGGCGTGAGTTCTAAGCCACCGGGTCCGGGACGTGAACCGCGGTCAACTACGTGGGAGTCCAGCAACATAGCCATTACGCCAACTGCTAGTTCCCTGTGATTACTCTTCTTTATCTTTCTCTCCCCCTCTCTCTGGCAAGTGTAAGTGCCCTATTGTAAAACTATAAAGAAAAAAAACTAAAAGAGAAAAACTGTATTCAAGGTTTTGCATTATAGTTGCTTGTCATAGTGAATCTGGATAATAATTTTGAGTGTTTATATTAGTGTATGGAAAAAAATGTGGAAGACGCCGCACTAAATTGTTGAATTTCATTTAAAAAATATTCATTGTTTCTTTCTTTCTTTTTTTTTTTTTTTTTTGGGGAGATTTTCACTGTAGGGCGCGTGCGCTCGCCAGACAGACAGAGAGAGACATAGAGACAGAAAGCGAGAAATCACCCCCCAGGGGGGATGGTCACGCCGCAATCCCTTCTCCTCCATTCTCCTCTCGGGACCTTGGGCACGCACGCACACGCGCCCGGCGTGAGTTTTAAGCCACCGGGTCCGGGACACGAACCGCGGTTGACTACGTGGGAGTCCAGCGACATAGCCATTACGCTAACTGCTGGTTCCCTCTTTATTTCTATTTTTGATTTCATTGGCTGTGGTAAACTTTTTTTTATTTTTTGCTATAGGGCGTGTGCACTCGCCAGACAGACAGAGACAGAGAGATAGAAAGCGAGAAATCCCTCTCCCAGGGGGAATGGCCACACCGCAATCCCTTCTCCATTCTCCTCTCGGGATCTTGGGCACGCTTGCACATGCGCCCAGTGTGAGTTTTAAGCCACTGGGTCTGGGATGCGAACTGTGGTCGATTACTGGGGAGTCCAGCAACATAGCCATTATGCCAACTGCTGGCCCCTGTGGTAGACATTTTAAAAAAAATATGAGTTAGTAGTGGAATTTTAACTTAAGAAACATACTAGGGATGTATTTCTTAATCATTTTTTTTTTCAGGTCAGAACTACGTCTGTTAAAAGTATATATGTCAATTTAATCTTTTTTTGATTGAGTAACATTCCTAAAATAGTAATAATTTTCCTCCTATTCAGGTTATTTCCAGAAAGAAGAAAATGGCGAAGTATGAGAAGGCTGAGGTAAGTTAATTACTTAAGTAATTTTAAAAATCCCTATTTGATCTCTTACTCCTAACATTCACTGTACTTGCCTTGACACTGATGGTTTTCAATTATGCTGGAGTCCCTTCATAATATAGTCCTTCGGGTCTTAGGGACAGTCTTAGAATATATTTTTTTGTTTATTTGTTTATTTATTTCTAATAATTATTTATTTCATTTTATTTATTCATTCATTTATTTTAATTTGACCAGAGAGAGAGAGAGAGAGAAAGCAAGCCACCAGGTCTGGGACTCGAATGATAGTTGGCCATGTGGGAGTGTCCAGCGCCTTAACCACCTAGGCCACCTGCTGGTTCCTAGAGTACATATATATTTTTAAAGAATTACTTTATTAAGCTTTATTTTATTCATTTATTTATTTATTTTAATTTGACCCGAGAGGGACAGAACAAGAGAGTGAGTGAGCAAGATGGAGAGAAAACAAGAGAGAGAGAAGTAGAAAGGGAAAGTGAGAAAGCAAGCCGCCAGGTCCAGAACTACTTGAACTGCAGTCAGCCATGTTGGAGGCCAGCACCCTTAATCACCATGCCATCTGGCAGCCCCTTAAAAGAAATATTTATCTAGGGAACAGCAGTTAGCATAGTGGCTATGTTGCTGAACTCCCATGTCGTCGAGCACGGTTCATGTCACGTCGACCACGGTTCATGTCCCGTACCTGGTGGCTTAAAACTCACACCGGGTGCATGTGTGTGCGTGCCTAAGATCCCAAGAGGAGAATGGAGGAGAAGGGATTGTGGCGTGGCCATCCCCACCATGGGGGTGATTTCTCGCTATGGTTCAAGTCCGAGACCTGGTGGCTTGCTTTCTCACTTTCTCTCTCTTGTGTTTCTGGTGAGTTCATGTGCCCTGTAGCAAATTAAAAAATAACAACAATGATAAATACAATTAAGTAGACAATTTATTTAAAAGAAAAAAAGAGGGACCAATAGTGGGTATAATGGCTATGTTGCTTGACTCCCATGTAGTTCGAGTCTTGGACCCGGTGGCTTAAATTCATGCTGGGCGCGTGTGTGCTGAGAGGAGCATGGGAGAGAAGGGATTGCGGTGTGGCCATCCCCCGGTGGGGGTGATTTCTGTCTCTCTGTCTTTCTGGCAAGTGCATGTGCCATACAGCAAAAACCTCTCCAAAAAAAAAGTTTTGTAATTGTGAGAATCATCTTGTTTTCCTCTTTCCTTTCTTTTAAACTCTTTTTAGAATGAACTACAGATTGGAAAATTAATTTTTTTCTTTACTTTTCTGTTTCAGATAAAGGAGATGAGTGAGATGCATAGAGAACGTAATGCGTAACTACTGCAGATTGAAAATTACCTACAAGGAGGAAAATTAGTAAATTAAATTAGATTACAAATGTATGAACATGGACAAAGAGAAGATCTTTCAGGATTATTATTTCATTAGTTAACAACATATATTTTTAATAGTGAACCTGTACTGAAAAATATAAGCAGCTAAACATTGGCTTTACCAATCTTCACCACAAGTGTCTTATTAACTAATATACAACTCAGAACTTGGACTGCATAGTTAAAATTATACAAAACATTGAAGGGTGCATTAAAAATATGTTCGCAGTGGAGTTTGAGTAACTATTTCATTTTGTGATTGAAAGCTGCCTGTTTAAGTCTTGTACATATAAATTTTTTTATGAACCAAGAAATAAAACATTTTAAACTATAATTCTTAACTTTGAGTCATATTGAATATAATTCCATAGTATGTACATAGGTTTGAAAGTACCCTGAATAAAATTATGAATTAGAGTTTGTGTAAGTACTTATAAGTACTTTTATACTTGATATAAAATGTATAACCTATAATATGGAAATTCTTTTTTTTTTTTTTTTTTTGAGAGGTTCACGTGCGCTCGCCAGACAGGCAGAGAGAGACATAGAGACAGAAAGCGAGAAATTATCCCCCAGGGGGGATGGTCACGCTGCAATCCCTTCTCCTCCATTCTCTCGGGATCTTGGGCACGCACGCACACACGCCCGGCGTGAGTTTTACACCACCGGGTTCGGGACGCGAATTGCGGTCGACTATGTGGGAGTCCAGCGACATAGCCATTACGCTAACTGCTGGTTCCCAATATGGAAATTCTTCACAGAAAAATCTAATAATATTTTGCTATTGGGTGTGTGTGCTCACCAGACAGGAAGAGAAAGAGAAAAATAATACTCAGGAGGTTTAGTCAGGATACTTGTAAGTTGTGACTAGCATGGGTAGCATATCAAGACCCTGTCTGACAGAGATAGGGTTGGTGGTGTATGCCTGTAGTCCAGCTACAGCAATTTAGGAGGCTGAGGCAGGAGAATTGTGATAGTGAGATCTTGTCTTACCTAAGTAAGTAAATAAATGTTAAAAACGGGGAACCAGCAGTTAACATAATGGCTATGTCGCTGGACTCCCACATAGTCGACCACGGTTCGTGTCCCGGACCCGGTGGCTTAAAACTCACGCCAGGCGCATGTGCGTGCGTGCCCAAGATCCCGAGAGGAGAACAGAGGAGAAAGGATGGTTTCTCTCTGTCTCCAGCAAGTAAACGTGCCCTATAGCAAAAATCTCTCTCAAGAAAAAAAAGAAAGAAAATAAAATATGGTTACGGGGCCAGCAGGTGGTGTGGTGGTTCATGGTGGTGGACTTCCATGTAGTAGATTGCAGTTCAAGGGCCGGACCTGGCAGCTTGCTTTCTCATTTTCCTTCTCTCTCTCACTCTATCCTCTGGTCAAGTTAAAATAAGTAAATAAATAAATAAAGTTAAATAATTATTTTTGGGATCGGCAGGTGGTATGGTGGTTAAGGGCACTGTACTCCCATATGGCCAACTGCAGCTTGATTCCTGGACCTGGTAGCTTGCTCTCTTACTCCCCCCGCCCCGTCTCTCTCACTTTGTCCCTCTCTGGTCAAGTAAAAATAAATAAAGTTAAATAAAATATTTCTTCAAAAATAAATATGGTAACTAGATTTAAAAATTTATTGGATTTCAGAAAAGTCATTATACATTTTTGCAACAGATAGTACTAGTTCATTTTTGCAAATACTAGAGTCTCACATTTATGTTATTGGTATGTCATTTAACAGGTGACAGTTCTAGCTTCATTCTTTTTTTTTTTTTTTGGAGAGGTTTTTGCTATAGGGCGTGCTCGCCAGACAGAGACAGACAGACAGAAAGCGAGAAATCACCCCCCAGGGGGGATGGCCACACCTCAGTCCCTTCTCTTCCATTCTCTTGGGATCTTGGGCATGCATGCGCACGCGCCTGATGTGAGTTTAAGCCACTGGGTCTGAGACTCGAACAGTGGTCGACTACGTGGGAGTCCAGCGACATAGCCATTACGTTAACTGCTGGTCCTAGTTCTAGCTTCATTCTAAAAAAAAGTGATTTGGTTGAGTTTTGGAGGTTTTACAAATTGAATGATGGAAGACCAAATTGCATTTTCACTATATTTTTCTTTAAAAAAAAAAAAAAACTTTTAAAGGGAAGGAATATGCATCAAGTTTGTGAAAAGTTCCATAAAATTTATGGTGATAGTGCTCAATAAGAATATCAGTGTCGGGACCAGCAGTTAGCATATTGGCTATGTCGCTGAACTTCCATGTAGTTGACTGCAGTTCGAGTCCCAGACCTGGTGGCTTAAAACGCACGCTGGGCGCGTGTGTGTGCGTGTCCAAGATCCCGAGAGGAGAATGGAGGAGAATGGATTGCGGCGTGACCATCCACCCTGGGGAGTGATTTCTCGTTTTCTGTCTATCTCTGTCTGCCTTGTGAGTGTACGTGCCCTATAGCAAAAACCTCTCCACCCGCAAAAAAGAATATCAGTGTCAACGGTGGTTTATAAGATTTCATGCTATTGATTTTGATCTGAATGATACTCCTTGGTCAGGGAGGCCCACTGAGGTTGATGACAACAAAATAAAGCATTGATCAAGTGAAACCCACGTTATTTGACACGAGAGAGTGCAGAAACATGGATCATCCATCATTCAAGCATTCACAACTACCAGAAGAAGTTGGGTTTGATATTTGGGTTTCTCATGAACTCAAGTTCGTTTGCCTGGCTATATAAACTACTGTGATATGCTGGGATCAGGAAGTGGCTTAGTAGTAAGGTGCTGGACTGCCAGATACCTGACTGTGGTTGAGTGTTGAACCTGGCAGTTTGGAACTCATGTTGGGTGTGTGCATGTGTGTGTATGTGTGTGTGTGTGTGTCTATCCAAAATCCCAAAAGGAAAAGGGAGATGGGATTGTGGTTTGGCTATGCCCTCTGGGGGTGATTTCTCACTTTTTGTCTGGTGATTAACATATGTGCACTATAGCAAAAATATCCCTTAAAAAAAGGCAAAAAACTGTGTGGTATCATGGTCAATTCAGATAAGACTGTAGGCTCCTTGTTCAGTTTTTGGCCGATATAAACAGGCTATTTTTTTTTTTCTTTTTTTTGAGAGGTTTTTGGTATAGGGCATGTGTGCTCGCCAGACAGACAGAAAGAGACAGAGAGACAGAAAGTGAGAAATCACCCCCCAGGGGGAATGGCCACGCCACAACCCCTTCTCCATTCTCTAGGGATCCTGGGCACACACGCACAGGCGCTCGCCGTAAGTTTAAGCCACTGGGTCCGGGACTCGAACCCCTATCAACTATGTGGAAGTCCAGCGACATAGCCATTAAGGCTAAATCCTGGGCTTCTTTTTTTTTTTTTTTTTTTAAGAATTATTTTTACTTAAGTTTTTAAATTTGACCAGAGCAAGGCAGAGTGAGAAAGAATGAGTGGGGAAGTGAAAGAGGAAGCTGCCAGGTCTGGAACTTGAATCGCAGTCGGCCATGTGGAAGTCTAGCATCCTTAAACACCACTCCACCTGCTGGCCCCCAGGTCCTTTTTTTTTTTTTTTTTTTGATAAAGAATTAAATTTATGCGTTTATTTATTTAAACTTGACCAGAGAGGGACAGAGTGAGAGAGAGAGAAAGGAAAGCAAGCTGCCAGGTCTGGGTCTCCAACTGCTCTAGGCCAGGTGGGAGTCCCGTGCCCTTAACCACCATACCACATGCCAGCCCCCCATGTTATTTTTATTTTTTAAGAAGTTTTTGCCTTAGGACATGTGCTCTTGCTAGAGAAGGACAGAGAGAATGAGAGGCAAAGTGAGAAATCACCACCCCAAGGAGAGATGGCCACTCTGCAATCCTGTCTCTATTGTCTTCCTGGGATCTTGGGCACACATGCACATAGACCAGGTGTAATTCTCAAGCCACTGGGTCCAGGAGTTGAACCATGGTTGTCCATGTGGGAGTCCAGCAATGTAACTGCTATGCCATCTGCTGGTCCCAAGACAGGTCCTCCTATAAATGAGGAATTAGGAAGCTCACTGAACGATGTAAAAAGGTTACAAAACAAAATGGGGACTATATTATTGTTTGATTTAATATATAAACAAATCACCTTTAAAAAACAAAGTCATGACTTTTCTGACAACCCTATATATATATATATGTATGTGTGTGAGAGAAATCACTTCCCCTCCATGGTGGATGGTCATGTCACCATTCCTTCTCTTCCATTCTCTTGTGATTTTGGGTGCACATGCGTACATCTGGAGTGTTTTTAAGCTACCAGTTTTGGGACTCCAACTGTGTGGTCACCTTGTGGAATCTAACACCTTAACCACCACACCATCTGCTGGCCCCCAGTAATTACTTATAATTTTTTTTGAAGAATTATTTATTTAATTTTGTTATTATTATTTTTAAAATTTGAACAGAGAGAGAGAGGAGAGAGAGAGAGAGAGAGAGAGAGAGAGTGAGAAAGCAGGCTGCCAGGTCTGGGACTTGAACTGTAGTCAACCATGTGGGGGTCACAGCGCTCTTAATCACCATGCCACCTGCTGGCCCCTTACATATAATTTTTATTATACTGGTGGGCAGTATTCTAGATTGGCCCCCAAGGTTCTCTACCCCGATGTATATACCCCATGTGTACATCAGTGTGGCAGAACCTGTTAGTCTGGTAGATTATCATACCCAAGGCTCAAGTTAATATGGCAAAGGTGAGAAAATTCTGTAGTAATTTAGACCCTTAATCAGTTTTTTTTTTAAAGAGCTTTTTGCTATTGAATGCACATGCTCGCCAGAGAGACAGAGACAGACAGAGAGCGAGAAATCATCCTCCAGGGGGGACCAGGAGATATGGCCATGCCGTAATCCTCTCTCCTCTAGGGATCTTGGGCATGAACGCACATGTACCCAGTGTGCTTTAATCCACTGGGTTCAGGACTCGAATCGTTGTCGACTACATGGGAGTCCAGCAATGTAACCATTATGCCATCTGCTGGTCCCAATCAGTTGATTTTTAATCATAAGGGAGATTATTCTAAGTGAGCTTCACCTAAGCAGGTAAAGATTTTTTTTTAAGAGGGTTTTTGCTATAGGGCACGTGCGCTTGCCAGACAGACAGAGACAGAAAGCGAGAAATCACCCCCCAGGGGGGCTGGCCATGCCGCAATCCCTTCTCCTCCATTCTCCTCTTGGGATCTTGGGCACGCACGCACACGCCCGGCATGAGTTTTAAGCCACTGGGTCCAGGATGTGAACCGTGGTCAATTACATGGGAGTCCAGTGACATAGCCATTACACTAACTGCTGGTCCCAACCAGGTTAATTTTTAAAAAAAAATTTTGCTATAGCGCATGTGTGTTTAGTGGGGGAGAGAGTGAGAAATCACCCCTGACTAGGGATGGTCATGCCACAATCTCTCCTCCATTCTCCTCTATGGGACTGGGTATGCATGAACACATGCCTGGCATGTTTTACAGAGTAAATTAAAGCACTTTAAAATTTGCTGAATATAGGTGGGCAGATGGTATGGTGGTTAAAGGCGCTGAACTGCCACATGGCTGATAGCACTGCTTTCTCACTTTCCCTCTTTCTCTATCCCTCTCTGGTTAAATTAAATAAATAAAGTTAAATAAAATAATTATTTAAAATAATTTGCTGAATACTTTCCCATACTTAGATGACTCAAAATCTTAATTATTTCTTTGAAGACCTTTTTTGTTAGGTACATCTACTTTTTTGCTCAGTATCTATATTAATGATAAAAATTTAACAGTCATTGGGGCCAGGTGGCGTCACTGCCCTCTGCCAAGGCTGACATGCTTGCAAGATTAATTTTCTAAACTTTATGCCCGTTAAAGTCTATCATAAATATTAATAACTTTCCAAAAGAAACAGCTACAAAACTCATGTTTAAAACACATTTTCTTTCTCAGTACAGTCTTGCTCAGATTTTGTGTGCATACAGATGGTTAAGCAAACAATTTGAAGCAAGAGTGAACCTCAAGTCTATTACTACTCTGTGATCTTCAGTAAGTTACTTGTCATCTCTGTCTTGCATTTTCACGTAAAACAAGAATTATAATTGTGAGTCCTTAATATCTACAGTAATACAAAAATAAAAAACCCCAGAAAATCAGTAAATTCTGATGAATGTTAGCCATTATTACTAACTACAGCTATCTTCTTTTCTTTCAGGTGCTTAGTAAGAGTGACTGGTGAACAGAGAAGTATTCCTGAAACAATGTAAGATGTACTACAATAGAGATATGAATGAGGTGAGGCCTCAGAAAATAATCAACTATTTACACCTGAGGAGACTGGATAGGCTTTTCAGAGACTTAGCTGGGGTAACCAGACGTTTTTAACACAGAAGACTGGGAAGGGCCATTATAATTTTGTGTTGAAGGCTTTGGCTGAAAGGGAAGGAAAGGACATTGCTCCAGATGTAGAGCAGAAGGAATGCTGCTGCTAAGCTGCTGGTGATGTCACTGGACAGGTGGTCTCTGCAGTCAGATGATCCAAATTTTCTCAGCTTGGAAGGAATATGTTTGAAAAACTCCCTTAGTGATTGTGTTGCTGAATTGGGTTTTGGGACCACTTCCATGGGGGAAGGGGTGAAACCAGAGAATGTAGTAACTTTTCTTTTTTTCGAAAGGAGAGGGCACGTGCGCTCCCCAGACAGACAGAGACATAGAGACAGAAAGCGAGAAATCACCCCCCAGGGGGGATGGTCACGCTGCAATCCCTTCTCCTCCATTCTCCTCTCGGGATCTTGGGCACGCACGCACACACCCCCGGCGTGAGTTTTAAGTCACCAGGTCTGGGACGCGAACTGCGGTCGACTACGTGGGAGTCCAGCGACATAGCCATTATGCTAACTACTGGTTCCCGATGTAGTAACTTTCCTAATGGAGTTAACTTTGCAGGCTGGATCCTAACCTCCTTTATTTATTTATTTATTTTCTTAAAAAGAATTATTTTATTTATTGTGTCGACGGAAAAAAAATAACCAACTGTAAAATTAATAATGAATAATTAATGCAGTTTATTTCTAAGCCAACTGTGAGTGAAGAGGCATACGTGCCTTTTCTCAGGGTGATCATGTACAGAGGTTCCTTTTATTTGCTTTTGAGATTGACAGACAACATTTAATGAAAAGATTTTCCATTGGTCTGGCCCAAAAAGGTGGGACATGTAGAAGGGGGGGCTTGTAGGTTATAGGTGGGTTCCACAATTCTTAGGTTGGTGATTGGAAGGGAAGATCCCTGTCTTGGTTAAAGAAAGGCTTAATCTACATCTCAAGGAAGAGGGAAGTTCTGTGTCTTGGGAAGAGATAAGCAAAAGAGTATACTCTAATTTTTGAAATATACATCTCAAAGATACTATGCCAGGAACAGGAGGTAGGAAGAATCCTGTTAATAGAAAAGAAATGGTCTGTTAATGTTTGTGGGCATGACTTCCCTAGTCCCCTTTTGAAAAGATTTTGGAAAAATAGGAAAAGTAGTCAGACTTCTGTCCACAATTGTCATTATTCTTTTTTTTTTGAAGTTGACCAGAGAGAGAAGGAGAGTGAGAAAGCAAGCTGCCGGTCTGGAACTCAAGCTGTGGTTAGTCATGTGGGAGTTCCCGCCATCACAGCCACCTTGCCACCTGCCAGCCCTTAACCTCCTTTAGGTCTTTGCACAACATTTTAAAAAGTTTCAATGCTCCCCCCCACTCCCTCACCCCCGATATATCTCTCTATATTTTTTACCCACTTATTTTCTGAAGCACCAATTCCTTTACTACTTTACTTATTATTTGAATCCATTCCCTAGAATGTAAGCAGAGCAAAGGCAGGGAATCTTCTTTCACTGGTGCTCCTCAGAGGCAAGAGTCTGCCACAGCACGCTGTAAAAATATGTTTTTGAGGGACCAGCAGTTAGTGTAATGGCTATGTCGCTGGACTCCCATGCAGTCGACTGCAGTCCGAGTTCCAGACTCAGCGGCTTAAACTAACCCGGGCGCGTGTGCATGCGTGCCCAAGATCCGTAGAGGAGAATGGAGAAGGGATTGCGGCATGACCATTCCCCCCTGGGGGGTGATTTCTCGCTTTCTCTCTCTCTGTCTCTTTTTGGCGAGCGTGCGCGCCCAATAGCAAAAATCTCTCCTCCCCCCCCAAAAAAAAAAATGTATGTTTTTGAATGGATTAATCAAATGTGCGTGAAGCAAGAATTTGTCTAGTAGGGAGTAATATGACTATGGAGAATAAACCTGTTACCCTGTTGGTAGTTTGCTTAAAAAAGGAAAAGGGAGATGGGACCAGCAGGTGGCGTGGTGGTTAAGGCGCTGGACATTCCCACATGGCTGACTACAGTTCGAGTCCTCAAGCTGGTGACTTGCTTTCTCACTTTCCCTCTTTCTCTCGCTCTCTGTGTATCTCTCTGGTCAAATTAAAATAAAATGGATGAATGAATAAAAGTAAATAGATATTTCTTAAAAGAAAAGGGAGACAACTGGAGAGGGGCACAATTTTAGAAAAAATACTGGGATGAAAAGAAAGAATAGTTTTTCTTCATTTCCGAGTTTATTTCTGATTTCACTCCCAAGCTTTCCACCTAGACGTCGACTTCCCTAGCCAACCCCAACTGTGCTCCACTCTGAGCAGCTGGAAAAAAAAATCACCTGAACAATGTCTTACACGATGCGGGTCCGCGCGAGACCTGGTCGCGAGCGTGCGCAGTAGACAGAGTCCCTAGCGTGAGCGGGAATCTGGACCGCGTCCGCTTATGATTGGCGCCCGCCGCAGCCTCCCTCCCACCGAAGCGCAGTGCTGGATGCTGATTGGGTGTATCTGCAGAGGCCGCGCACCGCCCAGGGCTGGGGGAGGGGAGGCGGGAAACGGCTTGCGGGCTGCCGGGTTGCACGTTTGGTTTTGTGCTGCGGTGGGGAGGGTCGGGTGGTGCTGCGGTGGGAAGGTTCGGAAATGGCGGTGCAGCCGAAGGAGACGCTGCAACTGGAGAGCGCAGCCGAAGTCGGCTTTGTGCGCTTCTTTCAGGGCATGCCGGAGAAGCCGACCACCACGGTGCGCCTTTTCGACCGCGGCGACTTCTATACTGTGCACGGCGAGGACGCGGTGCTAGCCGCCCGGGAGGTATTCAAGACCCAAGGGGTGATCAAGTATATGGGGCCTGCAGGTGAGGACTGAGATGGCGCGGCCTCGGGGCACGGTGGGAGGGCTAGTCTCTTCCCTCAGGAAGTGGGCGGTGAGCACTTTAAAGCACAGTTGCACGGGGGGTGGGGACGTCGGCGCCTCGGGAGGAATTTCGCTTCCTCCACCTCTTGCTTGGACAAGGAGGAACGGACCCCTGTTTAATACATTGCTGTATTATTTTTCCAGCTGTCGAGTAATTCGACAAACACCGCTAGATCTCTTCCATTACAGAGAACAAGGCAGAAACGAGATTTCGAATAGAAGGACATTTGAGAAACTCACCTACTTAATATTTAAAAAATAATTTTATTTAACATTCTTTCTTAATTTTGACCAGGAGAGAGAGGGGAAGTGAGAAAGCAAGCCGCGGCTCGGCTCGAACCACTGTTAGCCATATGGGAGTCCAGCACCCTTAACCACCACGCTACCACGCTCCCTACCTGCTGGCTATACCTCATCACAACTTTTTTTTTGAGAGGTTTTTTGCTATAGGGCGCGTCCGCTCGCCAGACAGACAGAGACATAGAGACAGAAAGCGAGAAATCACCCCCCAGGGAGGATGGTAACACCGCAATCTCCTCTCTTCCGTTCTCCTCTCGGATCTTGGGGACTCACGCACACGCGCCGGGCGTGAGTTTTAAGCCACTGGGTCCGGGACGCAAACCGCGGTCAACTACGTGGGAGTCCAGCGACATAGCCATTATGCTACTGTGGTGGTCCCACCCCCATAACTTTTTAAAGTTTATTCCTTCCACCGAAATCTCGAGAGGGAAATGGAGAAGGGGTTGCTGCATGGCCGTCCCCTTGGGTAGTGGGTGATGTCTTCTTTTAAAAAAAGATGTACTTATTTATTTCTTCATCTATCTATACCTACCCACCTATCTATATCTGTCTGTCAAAGATGTACTTATTTATTTCTTTATCTATCTATAACTTCCTATCTATCTATCTATCTATCTATCTATCTATCTATCTATCTATCTATCTATCTATCTATCTATCTATCTATCTATCTATCTATCTATCTATCTATCTATCTATCTATCTATCTATCTATCTATCTATCTATCTATCTATCTATCTATCTATCTATCTATCTATCTATCTAATTAACCAGAGAGAGAAACAAAAAGTGAGAAAGCAAGCCTCTAGTTCCAGGACTTGAATGGTAGTCAGCCATTGGGGGATGATTTCTTTTTCTCTTTGTCTTTCTCTGTCTCTCAGGCAAGTGCAGGGACCTATAGCCAACACAAAACAATTTAAAAAAAAAAAACAAAAAAACAAAAAAAACCATGGGGCCGGCAGGTGGCGCGGTGGATGCTTAAAAAAAAAAAAAAAAAAACCATGGGGCCGGCAGGTGGTGCGGTGGATGGGGCGCTGGACTCCCACATGGTCAACCACGGTTCAAGTCTCGGACCTGGTGACTTGCTTTCTCACTTCCTCTCTCTCTCTCTGTCTCTCTGATCAAACTGGAAAATAATAATGATAATAATAAATAAAGTTAAATAAAATAATTCTTAAAAAAAACCCAAAAACAAAAATAAAAAACACGTTTATTTCTTCCATGAGAGAGAGAAGAGAGAGGCGGGCACTCTTAACAGCACTTTCACTCCTCGATCCATCCTGAGCCCAAGCCAGCTGGGATCACTGGGTGTACAAGTACTAAGAACTGGGAGATCTTGTGCAAGAACCTTGGACCTTATCTTCTGGGTCCAGTGTCATGCCACTACATTGGGCCACTGGCTGGCTCCTCCCAGATAATTTGGTTCATAAACACACCATTTATACTATTGGTCCGGTTCAGGGACCTGTATTGGGCTACTATTGAGGGATTGTAGTGGGTAAATGGAATGGATTGGATTCATAAAAGCTGTCTTAGGTTTCAGCTCACCATTGAGTACCCTTTGTTTTCGCCTGGCCTGGCTCTGTCTATGCATTGTCATCTGGAGATTTACAAACTTCTCACTTTATGTGGATTTGATACTCTAGATTTCTTTCCTCTTTGGGTCCCTTGCTTTTTTATTTCAGTTAAGGAGTTGCACGGATGCCAGGTGCTACTGGGATGTTATTGATAAAGATTCATTAGACTGGAATTTATTGTCAGGCAGGGTTATGGACACTGAATGAAAAGGCATTATCTCTGCCTTCATATAGTTCAGTTCAATTTAGTATAGAGCAAGTCAGAAACACAATTGGATTTTGGTATTCTTGTGGGATTCCTCCTATATATAAGGAAAAAGTTAAATTGAAGGAAATGTGAAGTTGCTGCTGATGTGTCCATTGTAGTTAGGCCTAGGATGGTTGTGTGTGTACTGAACATGAACGGACTGTATTGTTACTTCAAAACAGTGTATCAACTATTTACATTACATTTATATTAGGGATTTTTAAATATTCGTTAATTATTATTATTATTATTTTAATTCACCAGAGAGACAGAGAAAAAGGGAAAGTGAAAAAGCAAGCCACCAGGTACTGGACTCAAACTGTATTCTCACTTTTTGTCTCTGTTTCTCTGCCAAGCGCACATGCCCTGTAGTAAAAATCTCTAAAAATAAACAAGTAAATAAAGATTGTATATAGTTATGGGTGGCTTTGTAGCTAATGGTCTCAGTTACTTTCAGATTTTAAAGTGATGTGAATCCTGCTATTCAAGAGTAGTATACACAGCTCTCTGATCTTTGTATTCATCGTAGGATAGTCTTGGACTTTAAAATGATGTTAAAAGTTAAAAACGTGTCCAGCAGGTGATATGGTAGTAAACGGGCTGGATTCCCATGTGGCTGACCTTTCTTTTGGTTTGCTTAAGAATTATTTTATTTAACTTTATTTATTTTAATTTGACAAGAGAGAGACAGAGCAAGGGGAGGGGAAATGAAACAGCAAGCCACCAGGTTTGGGATTCAAACCAAACTGGTTGGCTATGTGGGAGCCCAGCCCCCTTAACCACCACTCCATCTGCTGGCCCCACCATTGTTCACATCCCAGACCCGGTGGCTTGAAAATCATGCCAAGTGTGTACATGCCCAAAATCCTGGAAAGAGAAGGGATTGTGGTATGGCCATCCACCCTGGGGATGGTTTCTCACTTTCGCTCTCTGTCTCTCTGGCAAGCACACATGCCCCATGACGAAAACCTGAATTAAAAAAAAAGTACAAGACTTATACATTTGTATAATTTGTTTTTCCAAGAATCTATTAATAGTTCTAATATTTTTACTTTTTTATCTAGATTATGAGATGAATAACAAATGCTAAGTATTACATCTATTTTTGTTTAATTTTGTTCATTGACAGAGGGAGGCAGAGTTCTCTTTAGTAGGGTGTGGTCAACACTACAATACTTTTCTCCGTCTCTCCATCCTGTCAAGATTTGGAGCATGAGTCAAGGCTCTGGTGTAGTATTTTTTTTTTTTTTTTTTAATTTATTTAGTTTTGTTTATTCAGTAAGTTGTTTTAATTTGACCAGAGATAGAGAAAGTGAGAATGCAAACCGCCAGGTCCAGGACTCTGAATCGTGGTCAGCCATGTGGGAATGTCCAGCACCTTAACCACCACACTACATACTGGTCCCATGGTACAGTATTTGAATTGCAGTTATCTATGTGGGATCTGGTTCCCTTAACCACTATGCTGTATAGTTGGCCTTCATATCCTTTTTTTTTTTTTTTTTCTCTGCAGGGCCATGCATAGGGTGCACTCGGAGGGGATGGAGACAGAGAGAAAGCAAGAAAGCACCCCTCAGGGGACGACAGTACTGCAATCCCTTTTCCTCCATTCTTTTAGGATTTTGGGCATGCACTGGTGCCCAGTGTTATTTTCAAACTGCTGGGTCTGGGACTTGAGCATGCAGTTGGCCGTGTGAGATCCAGTTGCCTTAACCAGTATACCACCTACTGGCCTTTTCATTTATTTTTCAAGTAAAAAAATTTTTTTTTAATAATTTTAAAAATTTAACTTTATTTATTTACATTTAGTTTGACCAGAGAGGGACATAAGGAGAGACATAGAGAGTGGCAAAGTGAGAAAGCAAGCCACCAGGTCTGGGACTTGAACCATGGATGGCCATGTGGGAATCCAGTGCCCTTAACCACCATTCCACCTGCCGGCTCCTTAAGTAAAAATTAAAAAAAAAAATTTTGTTTTCTTTTCCATAGGGCTCTTGTGCTCACCAATGAGAGACAGAGAGAGAGGAAATCTCGTGAGAGAGGGAGGCTTGTTGGAGAGACAGAGAGAAAGAGAAAGTGAGAAATCACCCCCTGGGGGTGGCCATGCCACAATCCCTTATCCATTCTCTGGGAATGTTGGTAAGCATCCCCTCGCAGAGTTTGGTCAAGCCACAATCAGAATCCCAGGCACTGTGTGCCTGGCATGTTTTTCAAGTCACACATGTGAGGCATGAGTTTTAAGTCACTAGGTCAGGGACTTGAACTCTAGTCGACTACATGCGAGTCTAGCAATGTAATCGTTATGCCATTTACTGGTCCCAGTCTTTAAGCCTCCAGACTGGAACTATGGAGTTGACCATGTGGGATCCAGCTCCATGTCACCTGCTAGGCTAAAACTTCTTTTGTGTGTGTGTGTGAGGGTTATACACATCTTTAAATGCATGGTCACAGACTAAAACATCCAGTGCCTAATGATTTCTCTGAAAACTCCTATAATGTTAAATTTAGAAGTGGGACCAGCAGTTGTCGTAATGGCTATGTTGCTGGACTCCCATGTAGTAGACCACGGTTCGAGTCCTGGTGCGGTGGCTTAAACTCATGCTTGGAGCATGTGCATATGTGCCCAAGATCCTGAGAGGAGAATGGAGGAGAGGGGATTGCGGTGTGGACATCCCTCCCGGCGGGTGATTTCTTGCTTTCTCAAATCTCTCTGTCTCTCCTGGTGAGCACACGTGTTCTATAGCAAAAACCTTTCAAAAAGAAAAAAAAAAAAGCAACAGCTTCAGAATATTATATTGGTTGTAACTACTTGCTGAGCTTTTGTAATGAGTACAAAATCCAAAGGAGCAGCCTGTGTATACTCTTAACACTTGGTTCACTCGCATTTCAGTTTTGACTAAGCTTCAAGTAAAGCAATGGAATAGTATATAGAACTCTTAGTTCTTAATGTGATTTAATTCTGTCAAGGTCCTTGAATTTTTTTTTTTTTTTTTGGAGAGTTTTTCTATAGGGCTCATGCACTCCCCAGACAGACAGAGAGAGACAGAGAGAAAATGAGGGATCACCCCCCGGGGCAGGGTGGGGAATGGCCACGCCGCAATCCCTTCTCCGTTCTTCTCGGGATCTTGGGCACGCACGCAAACGTGCCTGGCATGAGTTTTAAGCCACCGGGTCTGGGACATGAACCGCGGTTGACTACATGGGAGTCTAGCGACATAGCCATTACGCTAACTGCTGGTCCCGAGGTCCATGAATTTTTTTTAAAAAATTATTTGTTTAAAAAAAAATTATTTGTTTTTATTTATTCATTCATTTTTAAAATATGACCATAGAGAGAGAGTAGGAGAGAGAGGGAGAGAGAAAGTGAGAAAGTAAGCCACCAGGTCTGGGACTCAAACCAAGGTCGGCCATATGGGAGTGCCCAGAGCCTTAACCACCATGCCACCTGCTGGTCCCCCAAGGTCTATGAATTTATCATTAACTTTTATTTAGGCACAATTTTTGTCCTTTCAATTTTAAGAATTATTTTATTAACTTTATTTTTTTTTTAAGAATTATTTTATTAACTTTATTTACTTATTTTAATTTGACTAGTTAAGGAAAGAGCCTGAGTGAGTGAGTGAGAAAACAAGCTGCCAGGCTTGGGACCCAGACCATGGTCGGCTATGTGGGAGTCTAGTCCCCTTAACCACCACACCACCTGCTGGCCCGTCTTTTCAACCTTGTATTAAAATAACATCTCTTTCCTACACAAATTCTTTTGTGACCCAGATGTTAACTTTTTTTTTTTTTTTTTTTGAGAGGTTTTCCCTATAGGGCGCGTGCGCTCGCCAGACAGACAGAGAGAGACAGAGAGACAGAAAGCGAGAAATCACCCCCCAGGGGGGATGGTCACGCTGCAATCCCTTCTCCTCCATTCTCCTCTCGGGATCTTGGGCATGCACACGCACCCAGCGTGAGTTTTAAGCCACCGGGTCCAGGACGCAAACCGCGGTCGACTACGTGGGAGTCCAGCGACATAGCCATTACGCTAACTGCTGGTTCCCAACCCAGATGTTAACTTAAGGTCAAGATGGGAAAGAAAAACTACTGAGATGAGTGTTTTTACAGTTTGCCAGTCCCAGAGTAGATAGTAAAGAATATTTTACGGATGGAAAGTTTGACACCCAGTGTTAGGGAGTCTGTTGAGAAGAGGAGTTTCCTGTGTAGTACTTGTAACTACCTGATATTGGATTTAAGAGTTAGACACAAGTGCTACATACAAGTTTTACGTCATTTAATTTTTACTTATGCTTCTTTGTGTTCAATATTTATTATTATTTTTTAGATTTTTATAGGGCATGTGCACTTGCTGTAGAGACAGAGAGTGAGAAATCATCCCTGTTGGGGGATGGCCATGCCACAGTCTCTTCTTGGGTTTTTAGGCACACATGAATAGGCACGCTGTGTGAGTTTTAAGCCGCTGGGTCCAGGACTCAAACCGTGGTCAACTGTGGGAGTCCAGCAAGGTAACCTTTATATGATCTGCTGGTCGCTGTATTTGATATCTATACTTCATGTGCTCCATGGTTAAATTTAAGTAGAATCTTTCATAAGATCCAGAAATTGTCAGAATAATTCATCTAAAACCATCTGTATTACCTCTAAGTGAGTAATTGGTATTGCCTATTATATAAAAATTGAGCTTTTATTTATTTTTAAGAGGTTTTTGCCTTAGGGCATGTGTGCTCACTGGAGAGAGATAGTGAGAAGGAAAGTTAGCAGACAACCCTAGGGGGGTGGCCCTGCTGTATTATTCTCTTTTCCATTTTCCTCTCAGGATCTTGGACATACATGTACACATGCCTGGCATGATGATTTATTGCCTATTATATAAAAATTGAGCTTTTATTTATTTTTAAGAGGTTTTTGCCTTAGGGCATGTGTGCTCACTGGAGAGAGATAGTGAGAAGGAAAGTTAGCAGACAACCCTAGGGGGGTGGCCCTGCTGTATTATTCTCTTTTCCATTTTCCTCTCAGGATCTTGGACATACATGTACACATGCCTGGCATGATGATTTCTTTTTTTTTGGGGAGAGGTTTTTGGTATAGAGTGTGTGCACTTGCCAGAAAGACAGAGAGACAGAAAGCAAGAAATCTCTCCCTAGAGGGGATGGCTACGCTGTAATCCCTTCTCCATTGTTTGATCATTACTTTTTTTCCCCCATAGGGCGAGTACACTATCCTGAGAGTGATATTTTTTTTTGGAAAGAGAGAAATCACCCTCTGCGGGGGATGACCATGCATTCGTCCCTTTTCCTGTCTCCTCTGGGATTTTGGGCATGTACACACATATGTGTGTAAGCCACTGGGTCCAGGAATTGAACTGTAATTGACCATGTAAGAGCCCAGCATTTTAACCACTATGTCACCTGCTGTCCCCTCATTTGATTCTTAATCTCATCGGTATCTGGATACCTGTACATGTGCCCAGTGTATTTTTCTTTTCTTTCTTTGTGTGTGTATGTGTGTGTGTGTATCTGTGTGTGTGTTCAATATAGGATGTGTGTGCTTCCCAGGGTGAGAGAGCCAGTAGGAAAGTGGAAATATGAGAATACAACACCCCGGGGAGGATGGCCACACTGCATTCTCTTTTCCACTATCTTTTTCGGATTTTGGGTGTGCGTGCATACACGGACTTGCGTGCATACAGGGGCTTGCGTGTGTACACTTGTGTGCGTGCACACACACCTGCCTCATCTGTTTTTCAAGCTGCTGCAACTGAGACTCAAGCTACACTGTTACATATGTGGAATTTAGCTGCCTGGACCACCATGCCACGTGCTGGCCCATCCAATGTGTTTTTGGAGCTGCCAGAGTTAGAACTTAAATCCTGATGGGCCATCTGTGATCTTGATTCTTCATGGTACTTAACTGCTGTGCTACATAACTAGCCCTGTCCTGTGGAGGTTTTAACAGGAGGGTTGCCTCTACCCATGAGGGTACTCTACTCCCTCTTATTTGTGACAACCTTCATCTCTCCAGACATTGCCAGATATTTCCTAGGGGAGCAGAATCACCCCCAATTGAGGACTAATAATCTAAAATAAAGATCAGAAAGTTTGAACACTCTTCGTGTTGAATTGATAGGGGAAATAGATGTATACTTTATGAGTGGTAGTATTAATTGGCAAAGCCAGCCAAGAGGGATAATTTAGCAATATTTAACAAAGTAACATATCCTAGGGCTGGCAGTTGGCATGGTGGTTGACACTGGATTCTCAACACTGGATTCTGACTGTGGTTTGAGTCCTGGACCTCGTAGCTTGCTTTCTTGCTTTCCCTTTCTCTCTCTGTCTGATCAAATTAAACAATAACAACAAATGTAATTAAATAAATCTTAAGAAAATCCTGATAAAGTCCAATTTGAGACGTTATCTTAAAGATATGCAGTAGCTGCACATTTGGAGAATGAAGCATGTACAAGGTTATTCATATAGTATTGTGATAGCATAAGAGTATGGGCCTACCTATCTCAGTAAGAGGCAAATTATAGAACATTCTTACAGTCATTGGAATTTTTGCAGCTGTAAACAGGACATAACATACTAATAGAATATTCTCCAAGATATATTAGAGTTTAGGAAATGTTATGGAATAGTATGTGTAGTTTCTAACTACTTATGTAAAAAAGGAGAGGAATTAAAAAAAAAAAATGACTTATTTAATCCCATTTGTTATTTTTAAAATTTGACCAGAGAGAGAAATAGACAAAGGTAGTGTGAGAAAGTAAGCTCCAGGTCCAGGACTCCAACCATGGTTGGTCATGTGGGAATCTAGAGTGAGCAATAAATCAACCCCCCCTCCCCATGGGGGATATTCACAGCGCAATCCCTTCGTTCTTCTCTTGGGATTCTGGGGTTGTAGGCACACATGCCTGGCAGGAGTTTCAAGCTGCAGGGTCTGGGACTTGAGCTGTGTTTGGCCATGGGGGAGTCAAGCGCCCAAACCACTACATTGCCTTCTAGCCCTGCAGTGATACAGTTTTGATATGGGTCTGTAAGCAGTACTTGTATTATGGTGTCTGTGCTGTCAAACCTCTCTGCTAATATTAATCAGTATTTATAGCTGCTCCCCATCACTCACATCACCCCCTCAGGTCCACTTCAGATCATCAGTGGTTAGAGTCTCATAAAGAAAGCGCAACCCAGATCTCTTATACTCATAGTTCCCTAAGGGTTCGTGCACCTAAGAATCTAATGTACCACTGGTCTAACGAGGTAGAGCTCAGATGGTAATTTGAACAGTGGAGCAGTTGTAAATATAGATGAAGCTTTGCTCACTTTCCTGCTGCTCATCTTCTGCTTTGAGATTCCTTTCCTAGCAGGTCAAGGACTGCTACTGGTTGGGGGCACTTGTTCTAGAACATATTATATAGTAGGTAAACAAACTTGATAAACTGTTGAATGAATGAACGAATGACGGAACACTAATTTAGAGAAATATTGTTAGGTGCTTGAATACTTATTACCTCAATTATGTAATGTTTATTTTTAACTTATTTTTTGTTTTAGGTGCAAAAGATCTCCAGAGTGTTGTGCTTAGTAAAATGAATTTTGAGTCTTTTGTAAAAGATCTTCTTTTGGTTCGTCAGTATAGAGTTGAAGTTTATAAGAATAGAGCTGGAAATAAGGCATCTAAGGAAAATGATTGGTATTTGGCATTTAAGGTAATTAATTATCTTTTTAATTTTTTTAAGCATAGAAAAATTAGAAATGTGAAGAATTTGATTGTTTTTTAAATTATTAATTTAATTTATTATTATTTAATTTGCTACAGAGAAACATGCACTCACGAGAGAGAGAGAGACAGAGAGAGGAAGAGCGAGAAAGCAAGCTGCCAGGTGTGGGATTAATCTGTGGTTGACCATGTGGGAGTCTAGCATCTTTTTTCTTTTTTTTAAGGAATTATTTTATTTACTTTTATTTATTTCAATTTGATCAGAGAGGGACAGAACAGTAGAGAGACAGACAGAGAAAAGGAAAGTGAGAAGGAAGCAAACTGCCAGGTATGGGAATTGAACCGCAGTTGGTCATGTGGGAGTTCAGCACTTTAGATCACCATGCCCCCTGCCAGCCCCTGGGAGTCTAATCTAGCACTTTAACCACCATGCCACCTGCTGACCGCTCAACTGGGTTTTAATATTTTAAATCAGGTTTGAGAAATATCTATGTAATTTAGCTTGTGGGTTTTTTTTTTTTTTTTGTTTGTTTGTTTGTTTGTTTTTTAGTTACAGTTTAATATCAATTTAGAAATTTACTAGGTTTTCATTATAAGATGAATGACCCGCAGGTGGTGTGGTGGTTAAGGTGCTGGACACTCCCACATGGCCCACTGTGGTTCAAGCACTAGACTTGGTGGCTTGCTTTCTCACTTTCTCTCTCTTGTCAAATTAAAAGAAATGAATGAATAAATAAAATTAAATAATTATTTTTTAAAAAATAATGAATTGTGACTAGTCTAAGCTTTGTTACTATAGATAATAACCTGAGCATAAAGTTGATGACCATCATTACACAGGATTTGATTTTACTATTTTGAATTTTTTCGTAAAATTTTTTATAAATTAACTTATTTAACTTTATTTATTTATTTTAATTTGGCCAGAGAGGGACAAAGAGAGAGAGAGAAAGCTAGCTGCCAGGTCTGGGATGCAAGCCATGGTCAACCATGTAGGAGTCTAGTGCCCCCAACCGCCATGCAACCTGTTGGCCCCTAAAATTTTTGTTTGTTTAAAAATTATTTAATTTAAATTTTATTCATTCATTTATTTAAATAATTATTTATTTAATTTTAAAATTCATTCATTTATTTTAATTTGACCAGAGAGAGACACACATATATAGAGAGAGGGAAAGTGAGAAAGCAAGCTGCCAGGTCTGGGACTCGAACTGCAGTCAGCTGTGAGAGTCCAGTACTTTAACAATCGTGCCACTTTCTGGCCACTCCCATGAAAATTTTGAAAAATATTCTTTATTTTATTTATTTATTTTTTTGAGAGGTTTTTGCTATAGGGCACGTGTACTCGCCAGAAAGCAGAAAGACAGGGACAGAAAGACAGAAAGTGATAAATCACCCCCCAGAGGGGATGGCTACACCTCAGTCCCTTCTCTATTCTCCTCTGGGGATGAATGCACATGCACTTCATGTAAGTTTAAGCCACCCCGTCTGGGACTTGAACAAAAATCTTTATAAATTATTAAAATGAATTGTTTATTTTATTTATTATTATCTTAAAATTTGACCAGAGGTTTGGGGGAGTGAGAAAGCAAGCTTCCCTTTCCTGGACTCAAACCACAGTCCAGCACCTTAGCCACTATACTACCTGCAGGTTCCAGAACTATGTGCATTTTTACAGATAAATATAGTGATTTAGAGATAGGACTTTCCAAGATCAATAATTGACCTAATAAAACAGCTCTCCTTTGTGATATTGGTAGTAGAGAAAATACTGGTATGTATAATTGTTAGGTAGTTTGACAGAAAGTAGAAATTTAAGCATAGTGTTAATAAGATTACCAGTTTGGGGACAGTGGGCGGCATAGAGGATAATGTGGCTGGATCCTACATGGCTGGCTGCGTGATTCAATTCCTGAGTCTGGAGGTTTCCGTGCATGTGCATCCCTGCCCAAAATCCCTAGAGGAGATTGGAGTATAAAGGATTGAAATGTGACCATCCTTCGGGGTAGATGATTTCTCACTTTTTCTCTTCGTGTGTCTCTGTTTCTCTAGTGAGCACATGCTCACTGTGACAAAAATCTATTAAAATAAATAAAAAGATGATAGGGGAGTCGCAGGTAGCATGGTGGTTAAGGTGTTGGACATTCCCACATGGGCGACCACAGTTTGAGTCCTGGACCCGATCGCTTGCTTTCTCACTTTCTCACTTCTCTCTCTCTCTCTCTGTCTTTCTTGTCGAATTAAAATAAATGAATGATTAAATAAATATATTTTTTAAAAAAGACGATCAACTTGGGTAATTTTATTATTGTGTACATAAAGCCAGCTCCCAAATTTCAAACTGAAAATCACTTTGATATATTTAATTTTAATTGTGCCTGTGTATTCATTAAATAATTGGAAAAGGATGGAGGATACTTTAATTAGGATATCTGATTACAGGCTTTTTTTTTTTTTTTAAAGGTAATTTAGCTGAAAAAAAAAAAAGATAATTTTGCTGTAGGGCTTGTGAACTTGCTGGAGAGGTAGAGAGACAGACAGAAAGCAAGAAGTCACATCCCCAGGTGGTGATAGTCATGCCGCAGTCCCTTCTCCTCCATTCTCCTCTTGGGGTCCCGGGCATGCATGCACATGTTCCTGGAATAAATTTTTAAGTTGCCGGGTCTGGAACTTAAGCTGCAGTTGATTACATGAGAGTCCAGTGACATAACCATCTGCTGGTCTGACAAGCATTTTATTTATTTATTTAAAATAATTTTTTATTTAATTTTATTTATATTAATTTGACCAGAGATGGACAGAGAGAGAGAAAGTGAGAAAGCAAGCTGCCAGGTTCAGGACTTGAACCGTAGTTGGTCATCTGGGAGTTCAGTGCCCTTAAGTACCACATCACCTGCCGGGCCCTTTATCTTTTAAAGAAAGTATCTTTTTTTTTTTTTTTTTTTTAAGAGAGTT